CCTATGCTCAGTTCAAATTTATTTTTTTTTTTCAAATTGATTCACTTTTTCAGCATAGTAAACTATGCAAAACATTGATTTGGGATATTGGACCTATAAGCAAGTAAATGTTTGAGTTAACGAACACATAGGCATAATCCAGTTTTATTTGCTTTGCAACATCTACGTAGGAGGAGTCTTAACTGTACATCACTATTAAACAGTGTATCAAATGTTTGTACTCCTTGCAAGTTACCACGACTTGAGAAGATAAATGTTTGTTTCAATTTTTCAAGTATTTACTGGAGTTTGGATTTGCTTCGATCAAAATTTATTACACTGAAGATACAGAATTTTAATATATCAAGGAAGTCAGTCACATTTCTTACCAAAATGAAAGGCTTAGAACGTCTTTACTCTGGTAATGTTGCCATGTGAAAAATACTCATCAAACATTTGTAATGTTCAAGGTCTTTGAGTAATGAATCTAAATCATTCATTTCAAAAATTACTTTTAAATAATGATTTATCTCTGAAGCCTTCAATGCTCATGTTTTAGTCTACATATAAACAGCTGCATCTAGTCAACTTCCTGCTTGTATTATAATTCCTATGTGGCCATATCAATACCATAAATTCAAATTTTAGCCTTAGACAGTTTTGCTTCTGAGAGACTCTGCAAGACTGAAAACCCAACAACCAGGCCAATTGTGTTTCCACAAAATAACCTAACTTCTTTCATTTTAGTTCTGTATTCCTCCCTAGGAAAAATCCAGTTTCATCATGCTTTTTTTAATACAAGTATCTAGCTAAATTACATTCCCATCTCATCCACCCCTCCTTTTTTTTTTTTTAAAAAAAAAAAAAAAAAGAAAGCCTTGAAGAGCTGCACAATCAATGTGTGGTCCAGAAACTGCATTCTAACTCCTTTAGGTCTCTAATCTGCCCAATATAATTTATAATAACTGTGCTTTTAATAAATAAATATTTTCTGTGGTCTTCCTGTGATCATTGATATGTCTAGACAAATGCCTTTGTGGTTTTTTTTTTCAGTCTGGCAGTGGTCAACCTTTCCAAGGTCTTAGTGTTGAACAGTGGCTAGCTAATCCCACAAAGACACTTTTAGCTATGTGCACATGGTGAATTAATTAATTATTAATTTTTAATAGGAATTAAACTCTTAGAATAAAAAGTCTATGTGTTCAAGGTCTCTGCAGTGGTAAAGCAATCTTGATTAATTACTCATATTTCTCTCTGAAACCTTTGGATGCTTTAACTTAATGAATTTACAATGAGTTAAATGGCAAGCCTCAAAAATGATAAAAAAAAATAAAATATTACAAATTCTTCTTTAAACACTGTAACTCAGAGGACAAATTGGCATTACAGCCTAACACTTGCATAATCGTAATACTTCATTGTATTGTTACTTGACGTTTCTGAAAAGCCTAGGGAAAGATCAAGGCAATAAGATTCAACTGTGCCTGTGATGCTGCAGTGCTACATAATTTGTGCACATCAAAATACTATGCAAATTCATTGTCAGTGCATCTAAGGTGATTTTCTTGCAAGAAGAATGTGAGTGGGATAATGCTAATATATGGTTGATTATTCTCAGCAAAATAATTTACTAGTATTTGATTCTTGGCATATCAACTCTTGAGCTTGTATTCTTCTTGCAATATGCTTGGGTGCTGGTCATTTTATTTCAGTCAGTTATTAAGTCACTAAAAAGTATACCAGTGTTGTTCTGTGAGCTAACTCATAAATCAAGAAAGGATCATTTGCTTGTTAGATGTATGTAAATGACAAAATTTTCTCAGTGTGCGCATACGTAAATTAATATAATCCAGTACCAAGTATCAACATTGTATTTCCATTGATTTTATGAAACTCATCATTTCCCAAAGGCTGAATTTCGGTAACCAGTAAATGGAGCAGGAATGAGTAGTTTATATTGGTCTCTGAATTCTGAATATACGTTTATTCTCAGTTTTGGTGGAATTGTGTGACTATTGCTTGGGCTGAAAGGATTACTTTGATCTGCTTTGTGTCAAAAAAGTGTATTTTAGATGTCTGGTGTTTATAAATCTGCTATGCATAAGTAGGTTTCTCTATAAATACACTTCTGGCCTTTTTGCCTGACTGATGTTACTTCCTGAGATTTATCCAGCAAATTATAGAGGCTGTTGTTCTTTGACCAAGACTTTGTCTTCACAGATGCTTCTTCCTTAGTGAAGTCTTTACTTAACTCATTCTTTTCCACTGGAGGCTGGAGGTGGGAGTAATTTTATTCAGTTACACTTTCACTTTTGATTTTACATCCTTTACACGTACTCACTGCCCTTGCTATTTTATTTCTTCTGAAAGGTTCACTTTCTATAGCTATCCATTCTAACTCATGTTCCTTTGAATTCAGTTCCCTGACTACTTCCTTTTGAGCTGTACTTGAAAGGGCTTGAAGGTTCAAGTCTTTTTTTTTTTTTTTTTTTTTTTTTTTTTTTTTTACCTTTGTCTCTGTCTAGAATTCCAGTCATCTCAAAGTAGGTCTTGGTTATGATTCTGTAGGTCAGGAATTACAATTATTTGTCTTATCATCTGTAAAAAAATAAACATTTTAACATTGAAAGTGATTAAGTACCTACAGTACGTATCTTTCATTAAAAAAAAAAAAAAAAAAAAAAAAAAACAAAACAAAAAAAAAAAAAAAACAACATGCTATTCATTTTGAATCCTGATTTTTATTGTTATATATAAAAATATGCACAAAAAAAGTTTTTCTAGCACCATTTCCTAAGCAGTATATAACGTGATCTAACTTCTCATCGAAGCAATATAAAGTTGCTATATAATAAATTAAATAATACCTTCCTGTAGCTTCTCTTCTGTTTTGTATTTTTAAGTAATGCTTAAAAAGCTTACATGTCTCCCATTTTCTATATAGTTTCTTTCCATTTTTCTTGATCCTGTTACTTTACTTGCTTGAAACATGTCAGTAAATTCTGTTTGGTTGATATTTCTCACTTTCCTTCCTAAATATGAGAGAATTATATATGCCTGCTTTCCTTCCAGTGTAAAGTAAAAAGGAGATGTTCTTCCTTGTTATTTTTTGATAGCATATTTTTGAGCATAAAGTGTTTAATACAAAAGCAGTTATACCTGAAGTTTTGGGTGTGTGGAGAAAAAAAAAAAAAAAAAACAAAAAAAAACATACATCTTCAAGTAGCAAAAGAAGCACATCTGGTTTGGTTTGAATTTTATTTAACTATATCAGATTAACTCTACCTGCTTAGATTTTCAATCTTCTTGAACAAGATAATCTTTCTGTCCAAATTTCAATTTTGTAAGGAAGAAAACATCCTCTAATTTTTTAAAGAAATGCTGCTGAAAATAGGAGATGTTAACACTGGCTTAGAACCAGCTGTCATTTATCTTCTATTATTAGTCTTTCCCTAATATTATCTTTGGCACTTCTGATTGATTTAGTGTCTGACCCATCACTATAGTAATGTTTTATGCATCTTTGTATTAATTCTGCTCTTCCAAATATTGCAGCTGTGGTCTTCTCATAAGACTGATATTCTGTGCGGTTTTTTGCATCTTCATATCCCATTTCCACCTTCAAAAATACAAAGAGTCCTTGGACTTGAAAATATTTAAATCTGCTGATTAAAGAGGTGAATGTGATCTGGAGGTACCCGCTGATACACAGTATTCAGGTCCACTGGGATTTTTTGCATGCCATTATGGATGGGGTTAAGATTTCAGTTTGGAGTAACAGAAATTAAGGCTATAGAGGCATGCTGCTCCTATCCCTTAAAGGTATCAGAACTGCAAGGGAACATCAGGTTTTAAAAGCAGATCCTACACAGCACCTCTGTGAATACTTTTAGGTATAAAGATGTGCTGCTTTTTCCTGCCTGTGGTTCTTCGTAACATTTGAATGCCTAACAGCAGAGGTAGACTATTGCTGTCCATAAAATGGAAATTGAGTGATATAAATGACTGTTATGTGTTCAGTCTTTGTGTCTGAGAGTTAAGAGAAATACTGATTTTATAGTGTTATTCCCTATGTGTCACTTTCTTGAGTGTTCTATTACTTTAATAAAAAAAAAAACTTGCTGTAATCATATGTATACTAATTTTTTTTATTGTCGTTCTCTTTAAAAAATCATTACATCTAAAAATGAATTGTGTAGAAATTTGCCCTTTTTTTCAAATAACTTCAGTGAATATTTCTCAGAGCCTTAAATCAAAAAGGCTTTTTTTTAAATGGAAAGTCTGTCATGTAACTACAAATATGAACTTTTCATATGCAGCTTGGGTCTGGTTATAGAAATTAAAATTCAGTAGAGAATAATTTCAGTCTTAGGAAATAGGAACCCATTTTTCTCTGTCTCAGATTTTGAATGCCCAGTAGGTGGTATTCATCCCCAGCACACACACTAAAAAAGTCCAAATAAGTCTCTTTGAAAAGCATTGCTGTCAAAGGGCTGATGGAAGGAGGTTCTGGAACTCTTGGAGATTTAGGCTAGCAACTTCAAGAGGAAGACTGGTATTTCAAAACTTTTGGAAGCTTGAGATCTTGATTTAAGTAATCAAAATGACCATCAGTCAAAATGAGTAGGTACTTTAAAAATGTGTTTTTGTTCTTTTTTTTTTCAAACAAAACTATATTATTTTCCTTATCAGAAAAGCAATCTGTCTGCAGTGTTAAAATGAGTGTTCGGGCAAGACAGCATTGAAAAGTTTGGTTGTATAACTGTTTTCAGATTTTTATGTGAAATTCATGTGAAATTTATGTGAAATTTAGACTACTGATAAGCAGTAGTCTAAAGTCTCAAGTGATCAGTCCAGACTTTGACATAGAAATGCAAGCACAAATATGAAGAAACGCTGATGGGCATTGACAAAGGACTCAATCAGATATTTTATCCTAAAAATGTCAATTTGTGATCATACATTTCAATGTGTTTTTATTTTTCAAAGTAATTGTACTGTATTTTATTTATGTATTTTAGGCACGGAAGGGGCAGTGTTTGGGCACTCTGTGGAGACACCCCATATCAGAGCAGAACCTTCCCAAGACCTCAAGTAGGTGTTGTTCAAAGAATTGTTTTAAAATCAAGTATTCTCAAAGTGAATTAAGTCTTGATTAAAAGCAATGTTGTGGTTTAACCCAGCCGGCAGCAAAACACTACATAGCTGTTCGCTCACCCTTTGCCCTCCCTCTCTGGGATGGGGGAGAGAAACAGGAAAGTGGAGCCTATGAGTTGAGATAAAGATAGTTTATTAAGACAGGAAAAAAATGTTAACAATAACAATAATGATAATAGTACTAATAATAATAATCTGTACAAAACAAGTGATGCACAATGCAATTGCTCACCACTCACTGACTAATACCAAGCCTAACCCCTAGCACTCTGGCCCTCCTCCCCCCAGCCACCCCTGTATATATATAGGACACCCCTATATATTGTTTAGCATGACGTCAGATGGTATGGAATATCCCCTTTGGCTAGTTTGGGTCACCTGTTCTGGGTCTGTCCCCTCCCAGCTCTTGCTTCATCCCCAGCCTACCAGTTGGCAGGACAGAGCGAGAAGCTGAAACATCCTTGGCTTTGTGTAAGCACTGCTCTGCAACAATTAAAACATCAGCATGTTATCAGCACTCTTCTCATCCTAAGCCAAAACATAGCATTCGACCAGCTACTAGGAAGAATATTAACTCTGTCCTAACTGAAACCAGGACAAGCAAATAGTAGATAACACTGTCTGCTTAATGACTCTTACGTATCCAAACCACTGGTAAACTCCAATTTGTTCTAACTAGACAAAAAAAAAACCTATGAACTTCTATCACACAAAGTGTAAAATACATTACTTCTTGGAAAGACTCACTTCCTGTAGCAGAACACTTTAGAAATATACTTTCACCAGTGTTCAGAATAGGAACATATGGAACATTTTTAGGATTATTTGACTACAGCACTGTTTAATTTCATCTGATGCGGATTTTGTTTTCCTATGAGCTGTTATTGAAAAATATATCTATAAACTTTTTTTTAAGTGGTGTTTCTGGGTTGTTGGATTTTGAATACTCCATGCATCCATTTCAAAATCTCATAATCAAGTGAGTCTACCTTTGCAAATTAAAAAAAAAAATAAAAATACAGAGTTTGCTGTCCGTATTCACAAAAGTAGAGGAATAAATAGTAAAATATCAAGTCTTAAACTTACTAGATTTTGTAGACCAAGAAAGATACAATTTAGAAAAATGTACAGTGAAAGCTTTTTCATGCAGTGCTTGCATGTGCATAAATACTGTAGTCTACATGGATGGATAATGAGTATATATGACTATCACAGAAAATCAAAGGTCTTCTCTTGTGTTTCTCTCACCAGAAGTGTGCTGTACCTGCCTAGCAGTGTTTACAGTGAATCGCTGCACGAAAATATTGGTTAAATGTCCTTCCTAATATTTGCAAAGGTATTTAAGATAATAGACCAGTAAGGATTGTTGCAGAAATCATGTGCAGGAAGTTGTCCATGCAAACAAATTTTCTGAGAGGCCCAAAACTTTGAGGAAGAGGCTGGAACTTGTCTCACTTAAAAGAATGTGAAGACCATTCTTTGCCTAATTATTTCTAATATTTAAATAATGGTATAAAAATGCAAAAGTATGGTAAAACAGATTAGCCTGTGTCTTCAGGATTGACTTCACTTGTGTTAAAATCACCTCTTGCTGCTTGTGCAACTTATATTTTAGACTTTCACCTCTCCTGTCTTTTGGCTTTATTCATTACCATGATGCCCATTGCTGCTGAATGTTTTCCAGCTTCACAATTCCTTCAGCTCATTTTTCCAAAGTAGACTTAATAATGAGAATTCTACTGAATCTTCATTCAGCTTTCTGCCTTCTCATTAATAATGAACTCAATAAAAAATATACATATATTAAAAAAAAAAAAAAAAAAAAAGATGAAATGACAAACTTTATGTCTGGTCAAGCAGCATTAGCGTATGTGTAAGTGATTTTATTCTTACTATATTTCGTCTATATTGAATTCTGGAAGTTTTTGTACATAAGTGCTGCTATGTGTTTGGATTTAGTGATGCTCCTTTTTTAAAATTCTTAACTTTTTATCTTTAAAATAGATGACATCTACTGCTAGGGCATAAATTTCTTGGCTTTGGCATGAATCTTTCTAGAAGGTAACCTACAGACATTTTTTGTAACTTTAAAGAACTGTAAATAATAGCAGCTTTCTTTGATTGTTTCTGACCATAAAATGCACTTAGGCACTCAGACCATATATATATCCCTATGAAAATTCTAGTTCTTACTTCAAATGATAAAAAAAAAAAAAAAAAAAGTAACTTTTTTTTTTAAAGTTCAAGACTTGCATTAATTTTACCTCAAAATAGAATGGCTTTTTTGCTAATTTTAAATGTGTTATCAGCAAGCAATAATTTACCATTAAATTGATTGCAGAATATGTTGAAACTAATCTGTCATCAACCTAAATATGACGTATCCCAGTGGTCTACCCCTATCACAGAAACAAAAAAATGTCAGGGTCCATCTTCTGGCCTATGGCCGAGCTGATACAAGTACATTGATATTTTAAAATTATTTTTTTCTCTAAAACAGAATAGTTGCATCTTAAATACTGAGTGGGAATGGTCTTTGACTCATGTGATCCTCTGAAGGGAGCCTGCAAATTGGGAGAGTCATAACTCAATTGATAAAAAATAAATAAATAAACCACCTAGATGATTGAGTTGCAGTGTTCTGGCCCAGGTCCTGCACTGTTTAATATTTTAATATAATCTTAGTCAAAATGTCCAGTATTTAATACTGACAGTCATAAAGCTCTGTAGAGCTTTTTTTCCCAAATGCAACATTTCCTGAGCTTGGGACTTTTGAAGTTTGGAGAGAAGAATTTGCTTTTTTTTTTTTTCTTGGGAGAGAAGAATTTGCTGAGCTTTAAAATTATTTTTTTCAGTAGGCACAGATTATTGCAGTTTGATAGTGAGGTGCAGTGCATGAATGCAAATGTATTAGGCTCATGTGAATAGTTGTATACAGGTCAGAAAGACAAAATAATTTGGTTCATTAAAATACAAAAAAAAATCCTTAGTTTTTCATATCAGTGTATGTATTTGCAGTCAAGCAATAAATGAGTATGTTTAAATTATAGCCATTTTTATAAAATAAAATTATTTTTAAATAAGCATTATATAAAATATTTTATATAATTATATTAATCAGGGAAAAAAAGATGTTGCAAAATAGTCATATATAAAACAATTCACTGCTGAAATTAAAAAGTGGAATTTTGACCACCTTGATTATTAAGAATAAAACTGAAGTATAAAATTTGGACAAAGACACACACAGATTTCATAGTGTTTGAGGTGGAAGTACTGGAATTTTAGGCCAATCTGTTCTGGACAGGGAGCCAGAAAGAAAAAGATTCATATTATCTTCAAATTTTTACAACTCTGCCTCTTCTATCCCTCCTTGTTCTATATCTAGAATTTGAGGTCTTCATACAGAGAACCATTTGAAATATTTTGCATTGAAAATACCTTGAGTAAAAACGAAATCTATGTGCCCAGCCACCTTGGTCATAACTTTCTCCTATCTTACATTTCCAAATAATAACTAGCAAGATTTTGTTTTCAGAAAATGTTTTATAAAATCCTTTTTGAAAGCTGGTAAGCCCTTTTGTTTCAAAACCTAAAACATAATTAAATTTGACTTTCATTAGGTGGGATAAGCAGCATAAGAGAATCATGCCTTAGAATCAAGAAAATGAATTATATCTTAATAATTTAATCTTCATATTTCTCTTGCTAACTTTTCTCATAAGAACACTGTTAGGAAAACTAAACTGTCGATATGATAGGTCCCCAAATATTGGTTTTAGGCTAATACTACATTAAAACATGGTGCAGTAATAGGTAATATCTATGCACAAAAGAGGCAGGCAATAGTTAAATGCTGATGACTTTGCCCTGAATAACCTCCTTAATAAGGGGGTAAATTACTTTGTTGTTGTTCTCTGGGGATAACTGCTAGATCAAATTTAATAGTTTTTCTTCTCTTCTCTGTCAAGCCTCTCATACCATTGACTATCAGCTAATCCTGCAAGCTAATGCTGGGCATAATGAGGTGGAAATTGATGAAGCAGCAAGGAAGCACCCAAGCTACTAGGATCCTGTTTTAGGACAAGAACACATATCATGAACTAGGAATCTGTTTCAGATGCCTGATGATTTGTAAGGGTCCTTTTTTTTTTTTTTTTTTTTTTTCTCTTCCATTTTAGGGGTAGTTTACTAATAGGACAAAGTATCGGTTCTGTAAAAAACAGAAGTCAGAGAATACATCAGAAGGTAATTCTGACAATAAATTGAGAGCAGGCTGAGAGTAACAAAAGAACAGGATCTCTGCTCGTCTATTTTACCCAGAAATCAAATAATAAATCAAACTTTTTCAAAAGAAAAGATGAAGTACTGTGAAAAAGCCAAACTTTATTCCTCTGTTAATTTTAAGGACCTCAGGTTCTAGCTACTTTCTCAGTATTTGTTTTTAATAATTGCTATTTATGTTTTCAGATTTTGTGTTTGGTGTTCAAATAGTTATTTCAGTGTTTGGGCATGTGTATTGTAGAAATATACATTTGCTTATTTGTAAACAGCAGTTGCCTAGCTGTTGAAAATATACATTTTTTTCCACGTACATGTTCATACAAAAATAGAGGTGGTTGTAGTACCAATTTAAAAATTTACAGAATATAAACATATATATTTATATGCTTTCATATTTATGTATAAAATCCAAAATATATTGAAATAAAAAGCAAGAAATCAAGTAAGTAAAAGGTTATAATTACTATGCAGACAGAATAGGCTCTTAAACCAGAAGAATAATTTGCTTTAGTGTTCAGTGAGGATGATTATATTTGACATAGGAGAGGGGAAAAGGCTTTAATGGAAACTGGAATATGAAGCAAGAATGTATTGCTGTCATTGTAGATAGCAAAATTCATTGAGTTTCATGTGATTAATATAGGATGCTGGGT